CTAGGCTATGTTAGTTATGTAGCTCTAAAAATGTGTAGTGTTTGAAACTCCGCACTTGGACCGTTTGAACAGAGAAATAATAGCTCAGATCCATCTGCAACAAAAGGAAAAGAAAAAAGAGTGGAGGACAAGATAGAAGAGAAGAGAAGACAGATATAGGAGAAAGGAAAGAAATATAAGAGAATGAAGAAGGAAGGAGAGATCGAACGTTCTGGAGAGAAGCAAACGAAGTAGAAGTGACGGAGCTTCTAAGAAGAGAGAACCCTAGCAGGCTTATCAAGTACTGTGAAGCCGACCTGCATGTTGCATGAAGAAAATAATGTTAAAAAATACGAGAGGCTAACTTGCTTCATCGACGACCAAAGATTGTGGTTGGATTCCTTTCACTAGTCATGCAAGGCTTATGTGAGGATGAGGATGACGAAAACATTTGAGAACCCCTCTTCACACTTAGTTTGGTATTCTAATAAATGAGAAATATAAGGTCTAGGACTGCTCAACACTATAGTTATTAAATCTGATCCAGTTTGATGGTTCAATTAGTTAATTCAATGAACTAGCAATTAGCTAGGCTGGATCTCTAATTTTATGGACCCAGTAGCTCAACCTAGTGAATCGACCTATTAATTGGGTTGGGTCTCTAATTTGATAGATAAGTAATTTGATTGAATACTAGATTCGTTGACTTGTCAATGAATCAGTGGTTAAATAGGATTGAATCGAGAACCTCGATAATTTTGTAAAGAATCGAGTAGCATTAATTTTTTGTAGGAAAATTTTTTTTGCAAATAATCGGGTAGCATTAGTTTTTGTGGGAAAAATTTTAGTAAGGTGTTGGTGTGGTTTGAACATGGGACCTTATACATGTATGAATAGTACACTGTACATTTACAGTTAAACCACCAACATTCATGTTAACTAAATAATCCTTTTTACATTATATAAACTTTTTAGTCAATTCTTTCTTTATTCTATTCTATTTCTGTAAAACAAATTTATTTGGAATCTTTTCATAAAACTTGTTATTCCTCAGACTCTACAGGTTACGAAATGGATTTTAAAAGTAACATATTATACGATTCATTTTAAATATAAATATTGTTGCTAATAATCTTTTGCACTTAAAATTCGTAAATGAATTAGATAATTACACCAAATATAAATAAAATTTTATACACTTATTACATTTAGGTTTTATTGATTCTTAAAAGAATTAATTATTCTATAACGAATTAACTGAAATGAGTATTTGCTATGGTATAGTTTATTAATATTGATACCATATATCAGATATCAAAAAAATATAATATTTAAATGGGTTAAAAACATAAAAGTACCCTGTGGTATATCTATTACACATAAAAATCTCTTGTGGTTTCAAATCATACCTATCGGTACCCTATGATTTGAAATAAAGTGCATTTTCGACGGAAATCGTTAAAGGAAACGGAGGTCAGTGAAAAGACATAAATGCCCTAACAATATAAGCGAAAAATTGGTGAAGGAATTAGTGCCCTCGCGAAAAATTGATAATTGCCCTCGCGGTTCTTATCAAAGTAGGAAGAAATCCTTGTTAGTACGAGTGCCAGCTCCAGTCTTCCTCATAGGGGTAAAAGGAAAGTCATGAGGAATAAATCAAAACACATTGGCGAAACTCCTTTTTTCATACCGAAGTTAGGCTGGCTGGCTCGACCATAGGGAGAAGAAGGGAAGTAATGAATTTCCTTCCTTGCTTGTCTGGTAGTTGAATGGAGAGCGAGAGAGAGATGAGGCATGCAGCCAGGGAAGCGGATGATAGACCTGCAGAGGCGATCACTTTGATTCAGTATCTCAGATGTTGAGGGCGGCTTAATGAAAGGCTGCGGGCTCCGCCGGGGCCTACTCGCTCGAATCGCCCGGGATTCCGTTTTTTTTTTTTTTATGGATCGAGGAGAGGTATTCACTTCGAGGGTTCAATGCAGCTAGAGAGCTGCTGCACCGGAGCTTCTATGGCTGCATGCCCATTTATGGCTATCTAGTCCCAGGGAATGGAAGGTGAGAGGCATCACTTTAATCCCGATTGCCAGGTACAGTTTCATCTCTATCATCCGACAGCGACAGGAATACAAGAAAGTGAAGATTTGCTGAAAAAATCGAAGGAAATACAAGGAAGTGAAGAGCCTGCAGATTTTCCTCCTCGATCTTAAGGAGGCACGAGAGCTTGAGCAATTCTTCGGTCAAAGAAGCTGGGTTGCTGCAAAATGCCAAAGAAGCTGATTGGCTTGAAGTTTTAATAAGTTGTCAAGGGCACAAGAGGTACATCAGCTCAAACTTTGAGTTAAAAACCCATTTTCCGAAGCAACCACGCTCCTTTTCAGTGCGTGGTTGATAATCGCGTTTACTTTAACGATTTCCGTCGAAAATGCACTTTCTTTCAAACCATGGGGTATCGATAGGTATGATTTGAAACCACAAGGAGTTTTTATGTGTAATAGCTATACCACAGGGAGCTTTTGTGTTTTTAACCCTATTTAAATATATTTCATGAGCCATCTGTTCAACAATTCACCCGCTAGTTAAACTAGTACCCCGTTGATCCACCTCCTTTGTTGGGTTCTTCTTCGAGTTGAGTTTAATAACTATACTTAACACAAAAATTAAAATGCAATTCCAAACTATTGGGATGAATCAAAATATAAAATTTTGACTGTCAAACATGAAAATTAATATGCAATGTCTAGACTATTGGACATAAAAATTAAAACTAAATCCCAGGTTGTTAGAATAAATGAAAATGCAACATTTGGAATACCAATTTTGAAAATTGAAATGCAATGTCCAAACTGCTAGGCTTAATTTAAAACGCAATCCTATACTATTGGGATAAATGAAAATGCAAAGTTTGGATTGTTAGACTTGAAAATTAAAATACTATGTCCAAACTCCAAACTCTTAGAGTTTGAGAATTAAAATGTAATCCAACCTATTGGGATGAATGAGAATGCAAAATCTGGCTACCAAACTTAAAAAATTAAAATGCAATGTCCAACCTATTGGTTTTGAAAATAAAAATAGTAATTCTAGACTATTAGGATGGATGAAAATGCAAAATTTGGGCTGTTAGACTTGAAAATTTCAAATGCAAGGTCTAGTATGGTGGACTCAAGACCAAAAATGAAATGTTAGGTTGCTGGCGGTAATAAAAATGTAAGGTCAAACTCGAAAATAAAATGTAAGGTCGAAATTGCTAAACTCGAGACTGAAAATGAAATGCTATCTACTGGAGGTAATGAAAAGGCAAGGTCTAGACTGCCAAAATTGTGTGCAAGCAGACTCGAAAATTTGAAAATTCGGTTGATCCAATCTGGACCCGATCCAAAATAATTTTTTAGCAAGATAGACAGAATTATTGAAAGTAGAAGGAGACATAGGAAATAATAATGAGTTTGTTTGGACAAGCCAAATTTGGTTTGCAAAATTTGTTTTCACAAATCCCAATCACCTTTTTATCTCACATACATCATATCACAAAAAGTGCTACAGTAAATATCTCAAATAAATCATTCAAATAAACTCTTATCCAAACAAACTCATTATATTTTGGCAAGATGGACAGAATTACTGAAAGTATAAGGGAGTGAACTATAAATTAATATATATCCCGGGGAGATTATGTAATGACTTGAAAAAAAATAATAGCAGTACTTGCATAGACATCTAATTCAAGGACCAATTTCATAAATATACGCGGGCGTGCGCGTGGAGTTGGAAGCGCTCCCTGGAGAGTAGGCAGGAAAAATCGGAGGGGAAACATGCGTATTAGAGAGAGAGAGAGAGGGGGAAAGCAAAATGTATAAAAGGGGATGTCAAAGATGATATGGAGCCAAGAGTAAGGACCAGCAATGACCTTGCCGCGGCTCTAATTTTTTTAATTAATTAATTCATGCCACCGCACATATTAATTATATACCAAATTTGCCCTTAAGAGTTAGTTAATACAAGGAAGTTTTGCATGGGAGCTTGAACCCAACCCTCTGAGTCATCCCTCAATTCTTCATCATCTCCCGTCCCGTCCTCGACTTCAGACTCCCAACACAGATTGATTGATTGCAGTCGCAACTCGCAACAGAGAGAGATTGGAGGCACCTCAACTTCATTTGCCAGAAGAGACGGTGGCGGTGAGGAGGATTATTATCATGATGCTATCACCAACAGCCCAAAAAACGGCCCCCTTCTTACAATATCTGATTCGCAGCAAAATCAGCTTTCTTTGATTGATTCATGTAATGGTAGGTAAATGAATCCATCTTCACGGTAAAACTAAGGCCTTGCTTGGATTGCTTGTTTCAGTCGGAAAATATTATCGTTTTCCGTGATCACATTTCTCTATCACTTTTTTCCCTCACATATATCAAATCGCTACAGTATTTTTTCCATGAAAAATGACGAAAAATGCAATCCAAACACAACCTAAAGATTTCTTCAAAAATCAAAAACTACGCCCCCATTATGGCATTATCTTATCTATCTGCCTCTGCGAAAACTGGAAAACAAACTTGATGCTCATGCCACAGTCCGACGATCAACAGCAACAGTAACAGAGAGGCCGAAGTTTGCATCCAGATTGATTGATTGATGAAACAAGACAGAATAGAGGGAGGGAGGGAAGCTTAGAGGCTAGAGCCAAATCAATGGCGCCGGATTTAAGCTCCAACCGCTTTTTCTTCGTGTCCCTTCTCGGACGGGATACTGAGCCGGAGGGAAGCTCAGCGGCTAGAGCCAACAAATCAAATGTCGCCGGCCGTGGGTCCTACACCTAAATTGATTATATGCCTATTGACTCCTAAGGGCAAATATGTCATTTGGACAAATTACCCTGCGGTTTCCAAATGACATACCGCAAGTGACGTCATCGATGATATATAGTTTGGTGGGTCCCATGCAAATTAGGTGGGTCCCATACGGTAACTCACATTTTCGATTTTTCAGTACACCGCAGTATGTATTCATGCTTGTAGGTTCCATTTCTCGTTTTGCGGCTTTTGCCAGAAGAAAGTTGAAAAGATTTGTGCTGCACTGCAACTCCTCTTTTATTAAGGATAAGGTAGAGATAGCCCAAGCAGAAGGCAGCAGCAGATTGCTGGATCAAGGAGATCGTACCTGTTGATGGCTGGAGCGCATGCGTGGATGGCGGAAATTGTGTATCGAGTGGTAGACTTGATGATGAAGGAATCTGAGTTGCTGTCCGGTGTGGTAAGAGGCGAAGCATTGAAGGGCCTGGGGTCAGAGCTGGAACAGATGGGTCGGTCGCTGAGGAGGTCGCCGGAGCAGCAGTGGCCGTCGCTGTGCAACTGGGATGGAGACGTGGAAGAACTGGTGTACGAAGCGGAGGATCTGGTTGACAAGCTGATCTATGATGGGCTCAAGTTTGGAGAAACAGCGCAACTAGGTGGCTTGGACAAATGGTGGCTGTTTAAGAAGTTGTGGTTGGAGTGGGTAATGCCCAGAATGACCAAGGAGGAGGAGTTACTTGATCTGACTCGACGGATCCGCCTCGTTAACGGTCGATTATTAGCGGGAGCCGCCGCTCGTTTTCGAGACGGAATGGCCAAAGTTGTTCCTGCCCTCCTCGGTCAACGGGAAGGAGATGATTTAGTTGATGATAATGTTTGCAAGACGGATCATGCTTGGAAATCACCCTCCCTTCCTGTTGAATCGGACGGCTTGGATGTTGGCATTTGTTCGGAGGACCAAGAAGATGATTTCGTCGTTGTTGGCAGGGAAGACGAGCGGAGGGAGGTGATTTCTAGCTTGCTGGCTGCTGATGACGCCCTCAAAATTATTGGGATATATGGAATGGGTGGAATCGGGAAGACAACTCTCGCCCAAAAGGTATATGGGGACTGCTCCGTCCGCCACCACTTTGATTGCTTTGCCTGGGCTACGGTGGGGAAGGACTTCCGCACCAGAAGAATTTTGGAAGATTTGCTGCTGCAACATGTCTGCCGAGCCAGGGATGACATGGCCCCATTTTCAGACTTGGACTTGGCTCAGAAGCTTTACGAGTTCCTGCAGTCCAAGAGATTCTTGATTGTTTTGGATGATGTCTGGTCTGCCGATGCTTGGGAGTGCCTCCGCATTGCGCTTCCGTCCCGAGAACCAACCGCCAGCAGAGTGCTGCTTACCACTCGGGACGACGGAGTTGCGGACAAGATTGCTTCTTCATCAGCCGACGACAAAGGATTCGTTCACCGGATGAGGTTTCTTAACCCAGACGAAGGCTGGGAGCTTCTCCGCAAGACGGCTATCAGAGGTCACTCTTCTTCTGGTAAAGGCATCATTCCCCACTCTCTTCCCTCTTCCCATTGGGATATTTATTTGTAGATTTTTAATTTTACTTTGAAGTTCACAAATTGCAAACCAAAGAAAACTTATGTCTCCGGCGTTCAATCACTCGAACCCTCCCCTTTCCTCCTAGTAGGGGCAGCTCCTCTCCACCCGCTTCCTTCTCTCCCAAAAATTGAGCAATAATCAATTTTCCTAGTTCCTTTCCTTGCCAATTCGTACTTCTCCATGGGGTGCCATTCATGTATCCTTTCTCTTCCTCCCCTTTTCTAGTCTTATCATGCATTATTAAGTCTGTTGCGTCTGCATTGCATCATTACTAGCAGGAGTATCTGCTACTTTTTCCTTTCATCTTTTTCATATCTATTATTGGCAGCTCGAGGGGTTTGATCATGCTCAGACGCTTATCTTTCTACCACTTGCTTCTATTTAATTGCTCAGATCCTAAGGTTGATGCGGAACTGCTGGACATTGCGAAGGATATAGTAGAACGCTGCCAAGGCTTGCCACTAGCCATCAGGGTGATGGCAGGGTTGTTGGCATCAAATCCTACACCACACCAGTGGAAGGCAGTTCACCGCAGTATTGTCTCCTACCAAACCATCGATCAAGGTTCTCAAGTCTCAGCAAAAGTAAACAGGACTTTGGCTTTGTCATACCACTTTTTACCAGAGTATTTGAAGCCATGCTTTCTCTACACGGCCGTGTTCCCTGAGGATTTTGAGATGGATGTAGGGAGTTTATGCCGATTGTGGCTGGCTGAAGGCTTTATATCGACAACCCATGGGTCAAGCCAACAGTCAATGGAGGACATAGCAGAGCAGTATCTGAAGGAACTGGTGGCCAGAAATCTGGTGTTGGTGCAGAAAAGAGAATTATCAGCATTTAGGAGTTTGAGAACCTGCCGTGTTCATGACCTGTTGCGAGACTTCTGCTTACTGAAGGCCAAGGAGCAGAACTTCTGTGACTCCATAATCTTCAGACACACAAATGACACCAGTCTAGCTTCTTCTTCGCCCATGTTAACTACCAGAATACATAGGCTTACGTTGTCTTTTGAAGACGGGTGTATGGTTCCCCACAATTGGAATACCATTAAACAGCTTCGGTCCGTCTCAATACAGTCCACGTCTCATGATCATGGACGTATCTTATCGACGCACATGTTATCAGAAGTGAAGGACCTCTCGAGGCTTAGGGGTTTATTTTTCTCTGGTTTTAACTACAAAGTATTGAGGTTTCCCTCAGCTACACTGGAGTTATTTCCTCGTCAGTTCTTGAGTATGAGAGATTTACCTCAAGTATTATCAGATCTTACCAACTTTAAACGGCTTCGAGTTTTATTTTTCAGTGGTTTTAACTTTGATGTCACGAGGATGCCCACTGGCATAGAAAAGCTATTCCGGATGAGATACTTGAGCATTAGAGGCTGTAATATCACGCGTTTGCCTCCAACTATTGGCAGCTTGTTGAACTTGGAAACTCTTGACTTAGGGGAAGGCACTTGGATTAGGATGCTCATACCCAGTGAGCTGCAGAGATTGAGCAGATTGAGGCATCTTTTTTTGCCTCGTAGCTATCAGGTTGTCGAGGGTGGCAAATTGCAATTGGATGGGTTGACAAAGCTGGAAACACTTGTTAACTTTGATTCGAGGCAGTGTAGAGTTAAAGATCTGCTTAAATTAACAAAGCTTCGGAAGCTTGTGGCTACCATGGATGCGAATTTTGAGGACCTGGAGGTGGTAATTAACTGCATGGAAAAAAGCTTAAACTGCTTATGCTTTTCTTCACTCATTGTCAAATCACATGACTCCGATAACCATTTTGTTACTCACAAATTATTGCAGTGTGCCAATCTTCACCTTTTGCAAATAGAAGGTCATATAGGCAAGTTGCCTCTGAGAATTTCTCATAGCCTGACTGAAATTTCCTTGATTGGGTCTTTGCTTGATGATGATCCGATGGAAAAATTGGAAAAGCTTCCTAATTTGTGGGTCCTTGCATTTCACAACAATGCCTTTCTGGGGAAGCACATGACCTGTTCAGGCATGGGTATGCCGCAACTCAAATATTTGTCCATCTCGAACTTGCGAAACTTAGAGAATTTGACGGTTAAAAGAGGGGGCATGCCCAAGCTTTCTACTTTAGCGCTGGAAGAATGCGAGCGCTTAAAGAATCTGCCTGAAGGACTTAATTTCCTCGCGAGTCTCCGGGAATTGACTGTTTCACAGATGCCTCCAGAGTTCATGGACCGGCTCTATGAGAGTCGGGAGGATTTTCATAAATTCCAGCATGTACCTGTCGTTAGAATCTGCTGGTAATTGATTTACCGCACCCTTCAAATGAATTAGCAGCAGAGCAATGGATTTTTGCTCGTATGACTTGATTATGCTGCTGCATACTTTTCTTTGTGCTCTCATGTAACTTGAGGTTTTATTGTAGGCCTTCTCAAAAACAAAAGATTGTTCCCCTAGCATGCAGACATGGGCTTCAGGTGGCAGGACAAGAGCTTCACTGAGGTAACAAAATATGTGGCAAAAGTCAAGCATGCTACTGCCATTAAAACCGGCTGTTGATAATTGATTGTTTGCTCGTATCAGCAGATCAGCTTCTGAGAAATAGCAACTTACGGCATTTTCTTTGGATTTCATGCCCTTTTCCGTGTTAATGGGCCTTCTCAAAAAACTGAAGACATTCCTCTATTAGAAGCTTATTAAGAATAAAGCTTAAAAGTATTGCACAGAACAAACAACATTTCTCGTAACTCTATAGATACGTAAATGAGGTTTCTGACTTTCTGTATGAACATTATGTAATATAAGTCTAGTTAATAGAATCCAAATGGTTTTTCTGCATCGGACTACTTCTCTAGAAGAATGAATTCTGGAAAATCTTCTTTGCTTGTTAAATTCCTTCCTTTTGTTATTTGAAGGTAATGGCCCCCCGGAATCTCTTTCTAGCTGTTCCCTTGTGTGGCTTTTGTGCTGTCTGGAAGCTGAAGATCTGGAGGATTTTGATGACTCGTGTACTTCATATTTTTCTATACTATGAATTAATTACCAGTAGTTGCGTAGTTTGGCTCGGTCCGCGTTGATTGTTTTGAGGTGAAGGCAGCAGAGCATGAATATTATAGTACATCAACAACTATACTTGTAATAGTTGTTGTGTTCTTTAATGGTTCACTGCTAGATATGTATAAATTCCAATTTTGGGATTATTTAAAATGTAGAAAACCATTTGGACCTTGATGGAAAGAATGAAGGAGTGGTAAAATTATACCTTTAATTTGTTACAATGTGATTTTGAGAAAACGTATTTAATTATAGAAAATGTCATAATCACAGAGGATAAACCTGCTTGTCTCATCGTAACTTTTTCTTGAATTCTCAAAACTTCTATAGAGCGTAGAAGCAGGATGTTATCTTCATTGGTGGAATGCCAGGGTTGGTAACTGCCATGACAACTTCTATCATTAGCGAAGAATGTCACAAATGAAAACCTCTACTGTGGCCTTCTGCTGCATCATTAGAAACTAAAAATAAAACATCAAGGAGTGGTGGAATTGCACCCTTAATTCACAGATTTAATAGTGGGATGGGAAAGTGGTGGCTGTTGAGAAACTAACATGAGAAGGGTTGAGTGATAGTAGTCTAGGAGTGGGAATTTTAGTAGATAAGACGTGGATGGATAGATGCATATTGGAAGGATATATTTGGTATAATACATAATGACAATTTTTTGTTTTTATGCCAAACCCCGTTCAGTCTTTATGTATAGAAAGATGTTGCTTATATTTTTAAGGAATATTTTTAATTAAGTTTTTAATTATATCACTGTAAGTCAAATGTGATATAGAACTCATCACCAGTGAATCACTCACAATGAAAAATAGTAAATACAGATATTATGCCAAATTTGAGACAATGAAATTAAGCATATAAAAACATTGAACATGACTATGCAAAATAGATGACGGATGGAGGAGGAATGAATTGAGTGGTACATGGAAAAGGAATGTAAGTAAGAGGTTCCGGATTCGAGATCTCCCACTTACGCTATATACATAAAAAGAACATGAATAAAATCAACTGCAGTAATATGCAACTCAGAGCTTGAAACTGGGTTGGCTCTTAAAGGCCCCCTTTTTTTGTATCCATACACTAATATATTTTCAGCACGAGGGTGAGGACTTCTAGATATATCTGTATTGGAATGGTTCATCCATTGTAAAGCTAAAACTGGAATCCAACTTTTATCAGCAGTCCTGCACTTAACCACATTTCCTAATTCGCTATATAATGCCTCCAGCAGATCCCATTGCAGAAGCATCAATTATAGTGTTTTTTTCCCTTTGAGGGTACATCAAATATAAATCTAGTAATATTTCAGATTGAACAAAGAGAGCTCAAAGTCGGATCTCATTTGTGCCGAAATAAGATCAGTGATTACGAATGTCCCTGTTTGTTGTAGCCAAGAACAGAATAGTCTGTTTGCAAGAATGCAAGTACAAGCAAAAGAATTGCAGAAGTCATGCTAATGAAGCCAATGAGCTTTTTGTGTTTCCACCACAGCCGCAGGGGATATTCTTTGATTTCTCTCCTCACATTGCAAAGATGTTCACACGATACCATGCCATCAAAATTGCTCAGAAATATCGGCAAGCCCTCTGCTCTTCCTTGAATGACTCCTTGGGAGGAAAGTACTTCAACATCTTGTGGTGAGCGAATCAACTCACTTAAAAGCTTAAGGAAGGAGCTTGATTCTGGTTCAATCCCTTGGGCTCCTTGAACAATTTCATACTTGCGAACAGATTCCACCACCAGCTCTGTGTACCTGTCAACCTTGAAAATAGGCAAGTTAAGAACAGCACTGAAGAAACCAAGCTTGAAATGAATTCCTCTACTTCCCAGATCTTTCTCTAGTGCTCGAAATGCAATGCCTCGTTCACACAATTCCTTGGCAGAAGGTATAACCTCAGTTTCATCACAAAAATTATTGCCCATTATAGGGATAACTACACCTGAACCACTTTTTGTTCCAGGCACAAGTCTCTGGAGACAATGTATCAGATCAACTGGTTTTTGATCCAGCTCTGTCACGAGTAACTCATATATGGCTCTTTTTGCCAATTCCAGTGGTTGCTTCCATTCATTTTTTGTTTTTAGTTCCTGAAAGAACCTCAGTTTCATCAACTGCTCGAGCACTATAAACGGCATCTGATTCCCGACAAAGAACATGGAACTAAGCCACATGTCCATGTTTTCTTTCACACATCCTATCCCAAAGATAGGATGATCATCTGAAAACTTAAGTTCGACGCCAGGTGACCCCACTCCAAGAATAAAGAACGCAATCAGGAGAAAAAAACAACCATCCACTGCCATCAATTCTTGAAAATCAACTTGGTCAATATTCTGCAAAGCTTCCTCAGCATAAGTAGCTCTTGCTTTTTCTTCAATGTCTTCTAATGTACTCAAGAGATCTGGCAGAGTGCATTCTGACTTCTCCAGTAGGAAATCCAAAGCTAGCTTCTTTGCATCCCGTCTGAAGTCCAGCTCTTTTGTCCGATAATTGGGGCCAAATACCCAAAGCTGTCCAAATTTGCCACTATGATATTCTGCCCAGTAGATGCGTATCTGTCGCAGAGTGTTATATGTTGGGCCAAATGTATTTTGCATTAGGATAAAAAAGACTCAGCTTCCACCTGGTACCATATTCAAACAAGCATAAACGTCTTGTCCGCCGTATACAGGTATATATCAGGTTTAACCGTATGAGCTAGTTGTTTTGCATTCAAGGTATAACAAAAAATTAATTGATTGTATATCACAGTAAATTGAGTGTAATTGTTGTCTGACTGTGTACATTGAAGGACATTTGGTACTGCAACTGTTGAGACGATATTGGAGATGATAAGGTAATCAAAGGTACAAGATTCAAATAAAGCGAAGACACAAAAGAACATATCTAATGTGGCAATTATGTATCTTCCTCTCCACTGAAAAGGAAAACTCAGTCATGAAAAAATTCTAATGTGAACTTTACAAGATGGGCAAATATGTTGAGTAACTCAGAGTGAACATATTCTGTTTAGCAATCCAGACTCAACCAAATAACCAAAGCTTAATAATGCGCTCTTCTTGAATTTGGTTCAAATTTGGAAAGTAAAAGCCAACAAAGTAACTTGAAAAAAAAAAAAGAAAAAAGAGAAGAAAAGAAACTTGCAGCATGTATGCATACCCCATGAAGTGCACATTCACATTCTATCACTGCAGTCACACAGGCACGAAAAATATTGTAAGTAAATCCAGGCCCATATAACACAGGCATCCTCCATTGCTCCGTAAGAGGTACCTAGACAGACCCATGCATACCGGCACCTCTTTACAGCCTTGGACGCTTGTCCAGAGCAACAAATCAATATAAGCCTGAAGTTATATCTGTATACAAATATCACCGAATGCATTGTCCCGTGGCATATCTATACCTAGTCAGACCAAAATAATAGCAAGTATTATCGGATGCCCCTTAAGAGACCTAAATATTATGAATGTTTAAATGTGATTTGGCGTTCCAATGAGACTAAAATTGTTTTTGTTCTTAACTTGATTATTAATAGGCTATTAATGTGTCTAGCCTTGTCATGACTGTGTTCATGTTAAACGCGTCAAAACCAATATATCACATACTTGACTTTTGTGTTGTGGTTGTAAAATTATAGATGAAACATCCCAAAATAGTAAATCATGAGTCTGTTTAGGAAAATGTCATGTTCTCTCAATCTGAATCAGCATTGCCTATATTAAGTCTTGAATGCATCATTTTCTCATTGACAACAGGAAAAAAGTTTTACTAAAGAAACAAAAAACAAGAAACTTTGGAGAAAAAGAAAAATAAGAATGGGCAAAACCATGTGAAAGGAAAGCAGTACAAACTAGAATATGTTCAAAAAAATTAGTCTACAGCAATGGTAAACTTGTAGAAGAGTTTAAAATTTACATAGAAAAGTTTGATCATAGTGAAGGAACAAAAAAACGCTACAACTGATCTAAGGGTAAGTATTTGTCAATTTGAGAAAGCTAGAATGAAGGCCAGCTAGAATGAAGGCCAGATGCGGAAAGTCAAAAGATCATAGAGGTTGTATGTGTGGATTTATGAGTTTAATTTCGTAATTCTAATTCTTAAACCATAAATTTAGGAAGAAACTACCAATTTAATGCTGTACATTTAGGAGGAAACCAAGTAGTATTTTTTTTAAAAATTTCGATATAAATTCTGGAGAAAATTCAAGAAATAAAAAGGCCAATATAATTTTCATTCAGGTTAAAACCATGTTAACCCGTAATTTTTAATGGTTCAATTGTGTCAACCCACCAGCTTACCTATTACGACAGATTTCATTTGCGTGTCATGTTCATGTCGATATATTGTGATGCAAAATTTTTCGTGCTATGGTTTAGTAAGACTCTTTTTATCATGTTCGTCTTGTATCGTGTTAGGTCAAAAATTGTCACCCCTAATTATTATCCAAGCCAAAAATAAAGGAGTTTGTATCAAGTCAGTTCAACCAAACTTGACTAGGGACTGGTCCATTAGCCAGATCTACTAAGAGAGCTCGTCTAGATAGGCTCAAGAAATTTCTGAGCTACACACAAACTGCTTCCAGATTTTTGGCTTAATTGGTCAACACTCAACAGTTTGGTTTAGATAAATTGAGTAAGGAAACAAAGGCAAAAACGATCTCCGTGCACCCTTTTCTGGACGAAGTAATGTGTTTAGAATGGGTTGTAGGTCATTATTAAACTAACGTATGCAACTCTTTAACAAGGATGCAGTCACTATTCACATTTATCTGTACATGTTGGTTATGTTAGAGTTACTTGGCATTGCTTAGCCTTATATTTTCAAATTTTACATTGTTAGCCAAATGTTGGCCATATATTGTTCCCAGCCCCTTATCCTTGGATAACCCATCCTATGAATTCAAAGTACTCTTTTCTTTTTTCAAAAGAAAAGGAAATTGTATTCATTTACTTTTATTTATTGTCTTCACACTCCAAATTTCTTTCTTTGTAAACGAATTGACTCACAAAATTGGCTAGATACTTAAAATAAATTATCATTAATACCAAAATCAATTAAATACAATAATCAATTCAAAACATGCCAACATATTCATTTGGGAAAAAAGAAACTACTCAAACAATATCACAACAATATATCGTCCAATTACTTTTTCAAATCATCTCGAAATCGAGCAAAGCGAGTACACTTTCTTCCTCTTT